GACATGACGCGAGCGCACCTAGCTTGTCCCCCTCCCCCTCCCCCTCCCCCAACTCCTCCTCCTCCTCCTCCTCCTCCTCCTCCTCCTCCTCCCTGGTCCTCCTGGTCCTCCTGGTCCTCCTGTCCTCCTGGTCCTCCTGGTCCTCCTGGTCCTCCTGGTCCCCTGGTCCTCCTTCCTCCTTCCTCCCTCCATCGCCCTCCTCCACCTCCTCATCCCATCCACCTCCTCCTCCCCCATCAACCTCCCTCCTCCTCCTCCTCTCCTCCTCCTCCTCCTCCTCCTCCTCCTCCTCCCCCCTCCTCATCCGCCTCCTCCTCCTCCTCCTCTGCCTCCCCCTCCTTCTCCTCCTCCGTCCTCCTCCTCTTCCTCCTATCCTTCCTCCTCCTCCTCCCTCTGCTCCTCTTCCTGCTGCTGCTGCTCCTCCTCCTCCTCCTCCTCTCTCCTCCTCCTCCTCCTCTTCCCCGCCTCATCCTCTCCTCCTCCTCATCATCATCATCATCATCATCATCATCATCATCATCATCATCATCATCCTCATCCTCATCCTCATCCTCATCCTCATCCTCATCCTCATCCTCATCCTCATCCTCATCCTCATCCTCATCCTCATCATCATCATCATCATCATCATAATCATCAACAGCATCATCAGCATCATCAGCATCGATATCACCATCAGCATCATATTCATCGTCATCATCATCATCAGCAGCAGCACAGCATCATCATCGTCAGCAGCGTCATCAGTATCACTATCATCAGCATCATCAGCATCATCAGCATCAGCAGCATCAGCGGCATCATCATCATAATCAATATCATCAATATCATCATAATCATCCATATCCTCATCAACATCACCATCACCCTCCTCCTCATCCTCCCGTGTCGTTCTCAACCTCCTCCTCCTCACCATCATCATCATCAGCATCATCATCACCACCACCATCATCATCATCAACATCATCAGCATCAGCATCAGCATCAGCATCAGCATCATCATCAGCATCATCATCATCAGCATCATCATCATTATCAGCATCATTATCAGCATCAGCATCAACATCAACATCAGCAGCAGCATCAACATCGGCATCAGCATCAGCATCAGCATCATCAGCATCATCATCAACAATATCATCACCATCACTATCATCATCATCATCAGCATCAGCAGCAGCAGCATCATCATCATCAGCACCATCATCGCAATCGTCAGCATCATCCTCATCGTCGTCAGCACCATCACACTAATCATCTTCATAAGCATCAGCATCATCATCACTATCATCACCATCATAATCAGCATCATCAGCATCAGCATCAGCATCATCATAATCATCATCATAGGTAGCATCGTAATCATCATCATCAGCATCATCATCACCAGCAGCACCATCACCACCATCGTCGTCATCATCAGCATCATCATCAGCATCATCATCACCACCACCACAATCATCATCACCACCACCATAATCATCGTCAGCAGCAGCAGCGGCAGCGGCATCCTCATCATCATCAACAACACCAAAATCATATTCATCATCAACAGCATCAACACCTGTCTAAGCATCATCATCATCATCATCATCATCCGCATGATAATCAAGATCATCGTCATCACCATCAGCAGCATTCGCATAATCATCACCATCAGCATGATCATCATGAACATCATCATCATCATCAACAACATCATCCACATCATCATCCAGTCTTAGACGATAGCAGGACAAACCGGGGATCTCTGAGATCGAACGGTTCTGGAGGATATATCTCGGGAGCCGCGCACGTTCCAGAGATCTCCCAAACGCTCTGAGAGCCTTCTGGAACGCTCTGAGAGATTAATCCTGGCCCGCGCCCCGCCCTATGACATCCTCCTCCTCCTCCCCCTCCTCCTCCTCCTCCCCCTCCCCCTCCTCCTCCTCCTCCCTCCTCCTCCTCCTCCTCCGCCTCCTCTTCCTCCTCCTCCTCCTCCCTCCCTCCCTCTCTCCCTCCCTCCCTCCCTCCCTCCTCCCTCCCTCCCTCCCCCTCCCTCCCTCCCTCCCTCCCCTCCTCCTCCCTCTCCTCCTCCTCCTCTCCTCCTCCCTCCTCCTCCCTCCTCCTCTCCTCCTCCGCCTCCTCCTCTCCTCCTCCTCCTCCTCCCTCCTCTCCTCCTCCTCCGCCTCCTCCTCCTCCTCCTCCTCGTCGTCGTGCTCCTGCTCCTCCTCCTCTCCTGCTCCTCCTCCTCCCTCCTCCCTCCCCTCCTCCCTCCTCCTCCCTCCTCCTCCTCTCCTCCTCCTCCTCCTCTCCTCCTCCTCCTCCTCCTCCTTCTCCATCCTCTGCCTCCAGCCCCAGGCCTCAGAGATCGGCCTGGACAAGCTCGACGGTGCCAGTGTGCAGCTGGCGTCCCCCGAAGAAGATTGGAGGCCTTGGAATTGGCACCAAACCAACACAGAGGGGCGCCTCCGCAGGGGGGAACTGGTCCCAGGCCTCCGTGCTGGTGGACACAGCTCGGCCAGACAGGAAGCCCGAGCGCGGCCACCATCGCCGAGAACGGGATCACCTTCCCTCTGCGGAGGCAGAAGCCGACACACGCCGGTCGGAAGAAGTAGGTAGAAACATGAAGTTGTTTCGCAGTTTGCCTTGGGTGTTCCTTTGGTTTCTATGGGAAATCGAAGCTTAACTTATGGAAGACAAGGGGCCTTGTTCCTTATTTGGGGTTCCTTAAGTAAACGCCCCGACTGCACGATGTTGCCAGTTTTGGGTGCGCTATACTTGCGTTGCGGCTGGCTGCGATCGGCGCAGGGTACACGTCGGAAGGAAGTAGGTAAGTAAAAACATGAAGTAGGAAGGCGGATAAAGTGGATTGGGTCCAGGCCCTCCCAGAGAACAACAAAACAAAGCAGAATCATGCCGAACCTTGAAGTAGGGAGGCGCTCGAAGTAGACTGGGATCTGGGCATCCAAAAATACCTACTGTCAACGACCGGCGTGTACTGCATTGGTGCTGGTGCCAACTCCTGGGCCTCCGAGGGGTGGCCGGCTGCCGAGCGGGTGCACAACCTATACAAACACGAGGCCCCGTCGGCGGCCGCGCCTGGCAGCAGACGTCACGGGAAGCACGGTGGGCGCGGCGTTTCCGTGTGCCGCCGGCGACCAGGGCATCGCCCGCAACACGGCCCGAGCATTATGCTGCTCCCATCGTACTTGAGGACCACATCCCAGAAATAATTTCGAGCACCCGGAAAAGTGTCGAAAGAGTGTCGAAATAGTGTCGAAACGGTGTCGAAAGAGTCTCCCAGGGTTCGACACGTGAAAGCCCTCGAGTTTTGGGGTGCTTTCTTGATGCGCGAAATTCATTATGGTGATCAAGGCACCCACGCGCGGCAGCGCGCCCCCTAGGAGGCAGCTCCTGGGAAGTCCTCGCGAGAACGAGGAAGGGCTTCTGACGGGCTGGGGGCTGCCAGTAATCTCCGACTGGGGAATCGATCTTCCAGGGCCCCGGCAGGCGGTGGATGTGGGTATGTTGCTCCCCCAGTGCCCGAATATATACGTATCCACCGCCTGCCGAGATCCCCGAAGGTCGATCTCCAGGCTGTGGCTCTGGATAGATCACCACCGCGGACTACCAGGCCCAAATAAGGAGCCGTTAAAGTTAGGTCGGGCATGTCCTCCTACAGGCGGATTTTGGACGAAAAATGAAACATACTCAAAAATACTCAAAACATGCTCAAGAATACTCAAAAATCGTCCCCAATAATATTTTCTGCGTATTTTTGAATACTTCTCCTGTCGAGGGACACGCCCGACTTAACACTAAAGCCAGATTAGCCCAGATTGAGCTCAGGATTAAGCCCGATTAGACCCGAAACAGCTGGACTCAGAGGGATTATGCCGAAGTCGGCCTGTTTTGGATCACGGATATACTGGCGCCGATGCTAAGATTACGCAACCTTCCAGGAGTTGCATCCTAAGCACCCGTAACGGACGAGTTCGCGCCTAACAACTCACGCGGCAGCTCCTGCGCCATCAAACGAGACGGTGGCATAAAATCCAGCGGATATGTAGTGGAGGACGCCCGAGAGGGCACAGACTCTTCCGAAAGCCCCCCGTGCTCACAACGTGCACGGGGGCACGAGAAACGATGGACAGGACACAAGTGTGCCGTGGATTCTCCAGGGTCGACGAACTAACATCTGGGACCGAATCCGCCGGACCGGGACCCGCACAAATGACGGCCGCGACGCCCTCTCGCGAACCGAAAACGGCCACTTCCTGAATCGACGTGTCAGGGTAGGAGGTCTTTCCACCCCCGATAACAAGACCCCAGTGTAGCTGCGCCACTGTGTCAGCAGTCGGAGCACAGCGCGTTGGTTTCGCCACGCTCAGTGCCCTGCTCTCCAGCGAGGGAGGGGTGGGGGACGTGTGAGCTCCAGCCTCAGGAGCCCCCCCACACGCCGAAGGGATCCAGGCCGTCCCCCCCCCCCCTGCCTCCCCCTTGCTCCTCCACCTCGTCCATCCGCGGCTTTTCGGCAGCGATCGAAAGGGGGAAAGTGAGGAGGAGGAGGAGGAGGAGGAGGCCTTCTCGAAGGCGGCGTGACTTCTCAGAAGGCCTCGCGCCTTCGGGGAAGGCTTATAACACTCCTCAGAGGGCAGGCGGACTTCCGAGCCTTCTGGGAAGACCCGCTCCTTCTCGCTTGCCCCCCGGGCTCGCCGCCGACCTCTCACCTGTCCGCAAAAGCAAGATGTCAGGCGTTGCCAGAGTACGCCCCTGAGATCCTTCAGTGCAGCGAGCTGGCCCTTGAGCGCCTCCGTGGCGACTGGGGAGGCGCTCAGGGGCCAGATCGCTGCACTGAAGGATCTCAGGGGGCGTACAGAGGCGTCCCTGGCCCAGGATGTCCCCAGGACTGCCAGGGAGGCGTGGGCGGCCTCCGGAGCGCCCCTCGCGAGGCCGGGGGGGGGCCCGGGGGGGCTCCAAGGGGCTCCAGGGCGGCGCAAAGATCTGTGAGCACCTGGGGCCCGGGCCGTCTCTTAGGGAAACCAGCAGGTACCGATGCCGCTACTCCCTGGACCTCTCCTGGGGTGCGTTCTGACCAGGATTTCGGGGCGAATCCAGCGGTGGCGACGAGGGCCTCCGAGGAGGCCCAAAAAAGAAGAAACGAGGAAGGGTTAGCGGTATGGGTACCGTTCCCTCCTCTGATCTCTAGCAACACCCGAAAGATGGGGCACAGAAGATCGGAGACGTCGCCCCCCAGGCTGAAACATCGCGTCCCGCGCGAGCGCGCGCAGGGGGGCCGCGGATCCTCGCGGGACCCGCGCGCGCAATGGGACCTGAATTGTGGCGCAATCTGCTGGGCCTGGCGAGCATTGCCGCCGCTTCGCCTAGGGAAACAAACAATGGCATAAGCATAAAAACTCGGAGATCAGCGCGGACTTCTCGGATCCGCGACGGACCCCCCTCCCTGGCGCGCGGAGCGTGCGGCGCCGGAGGCGCCGCCAGGGGTCTCCAGCGCCGATCCGAGAAATCCGCGCGGACCTCCAAGTTTGTATGTTTATGTCAGTGTTCGTTCCCCTATTCGCCCAAGACACATTTGATAAGATCCGCCGTCGCGCTTTTGATTGTGGGCGTGACACAGGCGCCTCTGGCTCGCTGCGTTCTGTTATAGCAGGCAGCTTATGCGAAATGTCTGTAAGAGCGAGTACGGGCTGGTAAGCCCGATTACAAGACGACTAAGCTTCGTTGGCCCAGATTGAACCCAACATTAACTATGGCAGATAAAGCGGAAGTAAACGGGAGTCTGCCAGACTATGCCCGATATCCCAGCGCGAATGCTGAGTTTTACCTCAAAAGAGGTGAATCCGAATCCGTTGCGCCTGGTGGAGGACTGATTCTCAGTCACCCCACAGGAACATCCTTTCGTGAAGCCTCACTGACCGAAAGCATCATGAGTTTATTTGAGCAACCTGCTGATTCATCCTTGAACATGTGGGGCCATCATGCCCACTTCGACCTCGCACGCGGTGGCGGAAGCCACGGGAGCGCACTCGGATAACAGGCGAACAACACACAACACACACTCGCCGAATAGAATATCTAGCTGGCACTCGCAACGGGACTGCTGCGCAATGGTAGCGTCCATGCCATCACGGCTCATGCACAAGAGCTAGGGCGACAAGATGGAGGGCGTGTACACTGGTCCTGAGCCCAGGATGGGCCAGGACTAGGGCAGTGGACATTGTAGAGATCTCGTCGCCCTAAGAGTAACTACGCATTACAAAAAAATCAAAACGAGATAACGATCGCACCACTCATGTGCAGAAGGCGCGCCAAGGGGGGGCGAGGGCGCACCAGAGAAGCGCCCGCAGGCTGCCGCGCTCAGACGATAGCGCGCGTCAGCAGCCACTCCATCTCCCCCTTGCAGCACGCGACTGTGGAGATGAGATCCTTTGCGCTGCCTGGCGGGAAGGGCGAGTGAGGGGCAACGATAGGGGGGGGATAGGCATAGGAGGGGATGAATCAACTTGGAATCGGCGGTACATCGCCGGTAGATCGGCGATGGGCCCCCGATGGTGAATCCGCACCTTCCTAGGCGGGACGAGGCTATTGGGCCCCAATCGGCGATCAATGGGCGATTGGGGGTCGATGCATCCGCCCCTATGCCACTCCCTCCCTATCGTTGCCCCCGAGAGAGAGAGAGAGAGAGAAGGGGGTGGGAGGCCGCCAAACATACTTCAACTGCGATCCTGGCCAGGGCAGCGCTACCCCCACAGGGTGCGCCCCGTGGCGTGTGCGCGGGCCCAGGTCCAGCAATTGGCCTGTCAGGCTTCGTTTCGGGTGCATGGTCCAGCGCCCCGTGGAGGAGGAGGTGGAGGAAGAGAAGGAGGAGGGGGAGGAGGAGGAAGAGGAGGGGGAGGAGGAGGAGGAGGAGGAGGAGGAGGAGGAGGAGGAGGAGGAGGAGGATGAGGAAGAGGAGGAGGGGGAGGAGGGGGAGGGGGGAGGACAAGCTAGGTGCGCACGCGTCATATCTGACATCCTACCCCTCCCTCCCATCCATTACCATGGCGTAGATCCCCTCTCTACTCGCACAGTCGGATGTCGAGCAAGGCAATGATCCCGAAAGGGTACGCGATGCATTGTAGAGCACGGCATGGCATGGCGTAGAAGAGCACCGCAAAGCGTAGTATCAACCTAGCATTGCATTGCATGCCGTGGCATGGCACGGGAAATGACGCCAGCGCTGCAGCGGGAGCACGAGTCGAAACGAGCGGAAGCGCGGAAATGAGGCCAGCGCTGCAGCGGGAGCACGATTCGGAACGAGCGGAAGCACGGACATGAGGCCAGCGCTGCAGCGGGAGCACGATTCGGAACGAACGGGGCCCGAAAATGAGGCCGACGCCTAAGCGAGAGCAGCATTTTGGGAAAAATGCAAGCGAAAACCCAACTCCGGGGAATCCGATGTAAAAAACAATACGCGGGGGGGAGCTAACACTTTCAAGCCGTCATCAGGGGAAGAGGGAGAGTAGTATTCATATTGAGTAATTGTGGAGGAGGAGGAGGAGAAGGAGGAGGAGGAGGAGGAGGAGGGGGAGGAGGAGGGGGAGGAGGAGGAGGAGAAGCAGAAGGAGGAGGAGGGGGAGGAGGGGGAGGAGGAGGATGAAGAGGAGGAGGAGGAGGAGAAGGAGGAGGGGGAGGAGGAGGGCGAGGAGGAGAGGACAAGGAGGAGAGGAGGAGAAGGAGGAGGAGAAGAAGGAGGATGATGAGGAGGAGGAGACATGGAAACATAATCTTTTGGAGGTCCGCGCGGACTTCTTGGCTCCCGCTAGTTCCCCCTCCCTGGCGCGCGGAGCGTGCCAGAGGCGGCGCCGGAAGTGTCGCCAGTTGGGCCCGTTACGAATCCAAGGACTCCGCGCGGAGCTCCGAAAGTATATTGTCAAGCCGTCTTTTCCCCTCAAGAAGAGGCGGAGGGGAAGAAGAGGCGTGAACAGAGCGGCAGGGGGCAGGTTCAGGGTCGGGCAGACGTAGTCAAGATTCGCCATCGGGGGAATCGGGTTGCCCCGACGGGGCCATCATGAAGACGACGAGACCCCGCCTGAAATCTGACGCGAGCTCCCGCTGCAGTCATCCCACGATAACTAGACTTAGGTCGGGCATGTTTTAAAGGCACAAAATGGTCAAACATAGTCAAACAAAATCGTCACCAGACTGTTGTTTGACTATTCTTGAATATTCCTCCTGTAGAGGGACAGGCCCGACTCAAAACTAGACCTTCAAAATATGCAGGACGCGCTCGTCAAAAAGCGTCGGCAAACCCGAGTCCAGGCGTGTCCTGGAGTCTCACGCTTCCCCGACAAAGGGGAAGGGGCGCCCCGCTCTCTCGAGCCGGAAAGACACGGCTGCGCCTGGACACAGCCGCTTGGAACCCACTGGAGGCCGCGCGAGCCAGATACGCGCGCGGGAGCGTGATGTTTTGTTCGATTGCAACATTTCCTTCTCAAGCATTGTCTGGTGAAATCTGCATCTGCATAAAAATGAAGCCTCGAAGGAGCTTCGAGGGAGCTGCGAAGGACCTGCGGAAAGGCGTCAGGCACGCGTATTAGGAACGAGTAGGAAAACGTTGGCCGCTGGAACGCGCTGCCCAGCCTGCAGGGACACGAGAGCGCCGAACACGCGGCCACGGGCGCTTCCCACCGTCCCCCAGCCCTGCCGCGCCAAGAGCATCCACAGAGGCCTCCTAGATGGGGTCGGAGTAGATGGGGTCAGGGGGTCGCGCCGCATCGCCGATACATCGGCGATGCGCCTGCGATGCATCGGCGATGCACCTGCGATGCATCGTCGACGTGGGCGATGCATCGGCAACGTCACCGTCGGCATGTCATGTGGCGGATTCTGCAAACCCTGAACCCAAAGATGCGGTCAACTCTTGCTTCCGCCAGCTACCGCCGAGCTTCCGTCGGCTTCCGCCAGCGGGGCCGCCGCCGTTCTACTTCCGCCGCCCTTCGCCGACCTTCCGCCGCCTTCCACCGAGGAAGAGACGACAACTCCTTCTATCCTCGAAGGCGAGGCCATTTTTGGAACGCTCCATGTGCATCCAGCCTCTGGGCAAGAGAGCCCATCGCTTCTGGGGGGGGGGGGGGCGGGGCGGGGCGCACGGTGTCTGATGGAGGCAGGGCCTCTGCAAGAGGCCCGCCCCTGCCTTGAAGGGGGCCCGGCGCCCCCGGTCCTCGGCCCTCCTTGCTCGCTGACGAGAAGAGGACGGGGAGGAGGCGGAGGCGGAGGAGGCGGAGGCGGAGGAGCCCGAGGACCGAGGGTACCAGGATGATCCATCTCCAAGCTTATAGAAGGTGAGATCGATCCTTCCACCCAAAAGCTTCGCTGGGGAAATCAGTCCCTCTCCATCTGCCGACTAGGTCGTATCACAACGCGCTGTTTTCCCGCCACGTACTGCAACGGCGGGGAGTGGCGCGGCAAGGACCCAAGGACCCAGTGTCCGAGGAGAACCAGGAAGGGCGGGGGACAGGGAGGAGGGGAGGAAGACGGAAGGAGGAGGAGGGGGAGTGGAGAAGGGGGACGGGGAGGGGGAGGCAGGAGACGGGGGAGGAGGGGGAGAGGAGAAGGAGGAGAAGGACGAGGGACAGGGAGGAGGGGAGGAGGGGGAGGGAGGACCTCTGATGCCATTGACCTCGATGACGCGGTCGTCGGCAAGGATGCGCTGCCTGAATAATCAGAGCACCGCAAGCTCCGAAAGATCCGGCCCGGTCGGGGGTCACGAGGCCAGCGAGCGGTAGTCACGCGAGCCCCATACAGTGGAGGCCAATCCACAAGAAACCTTCCATGAGAAATCCAACCCTGAGACCCCAGCACGTCCATGGATTCTTGGTGTGGGCACGTCACGCTCTCCACCGCAAAACCATCGACACCCAAGAAACCAAGGGCACCCTGGAGGCAAGCAAGGTGTTTCTTGGCATGGGCCTCCACTGGTTCCTCTCTTGGTTCTTGGCTCCTGGTTCCTCTCTTGGTTCCTGGTTCCTCTCTTGGTTCCTGGTTCCTGGTTCCTCTCTTGGCTCCTGGTTCCTGGTGGCATGAGGTCCCTGCGGGTGCTGCCTCCCCGTCCCCTCTCCCCTCTCCTCCTCGCCCGTCCCCCGCATTCACCTCTCCCCATTCCCCGTGTCGACGACACTCGCGCGGAGAGCTTCGCACAAGGCGTGGAGGCGAGAGAGTCACACACGAGGTGGAGGAGGAGGAGGAGGAGGAGGAGGAGGAGGAGGAGGAGGAGGAGGAGACGAGAGAGGAGGAGGAGGAGGAGACGAGAGAGGAGGAGGCGCCGCAAGCCAAAACTGGAACTCCGCTTCCCCCTCTTCTTCCTCACTTCCTCAGAGGCAGGGGAGATGAAGGGTAAAGGAGGAAAGAAATATAGAGAGAAGGGAGGGGGATAATGTAGATGGGGGGAGGGAGGGATGGAAGGAAGCAAGGAAGTAAGAACAGATGAAGGAAGGAGCGACGTTTCTTCCTTCCTCCCTGCTGCTCCACGGCTTCGAACCGCTTGCCAAATCCAAGCAAACTAAGCCCAGCACTGCGGATTCGCAATGTTCCATTTGTCGACGAGCCCGTCTTCAAAGACCTTTCTTATGAAGAAGGCATCTCCTTGCTCATCTGGCACGATCTTGACGCCGAGCTTGCCCTCGCGCACATCAAACCTGCGCCAAGGGCGACACAGACAGGAAACCCAACATAATCCGCGAATACGTTCGTGATACCCCTTTCACTCACAGTGCGGGCGCGGCCAAAAGAAACCCTCGCAAGAAACCCAGCCCAGAGAAACCGTGCGCGAGGTGCACCTGAGGGGAAACCCAGAGGACCCTGAACGCAGCAGCTCCTTCAACGGCTGCGGGAAGTCACCGCGCAGCGCGAGGAGCGAAGAAACCCAGAATACCCTGACGAAAAGCATATGGTTTCTTGATGCGCGCCCCCACTGTGCACCGCCTTGCCTGCGCCTTTCCTGCATTGCCGAAGGCCTGCCACTTCACAGCACGTGCTAGCAGCACACGGTCCGGCTCTTCGCGCGTTGGGGAACGTCTGCCACAATCCTCCTTCCCCCTGTCCTCCTCCTCCTCCGCCTGTCCTCCTCCTCCTCCTCCTCCTCGCCCTCCTCCCCCTCCTCCTCCCCCTCCTCCCCCTCCTACCTCCTCCTCCCCCTCCCCCTCCCCCTCCTCCTCCTCCTCCTGCTCCTCCTCCTCCTCCTCCTCCTCCTCCTCCTCCTCCTCCTCCTCCTCCTCCTCCTCCCCCTTGTCCCCAGTCTTCCTCCTCCTCCTCCTTCTCCTCCTCCTCGTCCGCACGCATGAACCAGCGAGCGAGGCCAGGGCAGGTGCTGGTGCGTAGCTTTAAGTCGGGCCTGTCCCCCTACAGTGGGATTTTGAACGAAAAATAAAGATAGTCAAACAAATACCCTAGAATACTCGAAAATGGTAGAAAAATCGTCCCCTGACTATGTTCAGACTATTTTTGGATCTTCCTCCTGTAGAGGGGCAGGCCGGGCTTAAACGTAGCTGCGCCCAGCACGCTGCCGGCACGATGCCCGACGACGGGGCGCGCCCCCGCCGGAGCGGCGGCCTGCCGAGCCAGGGCGACGCGCACGAGCAGCGCGTGGAACCGGCCACGCTTCCCAAAGTCCCGCGGGGCCTGGACGCTTCCCAGGGTCCCGGACGTGGCGGGCCTCGAGGCGGAGATGCTTGCGCGTGGCGACGGCGCAGGCGCTGGACGAGGGCGGCGACGGCAGCAGGAGCGGGGGCGGCAGCTGCGTGGAAGCCCCCGTCGAGGGGGATGGTCGTGCCGTCTCCACGGCAGCCGAGGCCGCGTCGGAAGCGCCGGCTGGCTTTGAAAAGCGGTGGCGCCCGCGAGAGCGGCAACACCGTGCGAGACGATATCCCAGGCGGCGGTTGCAGTGGATGGCTGTCGCCAGGAGTTTGGCAGGTCGGCCAGAGCGCCGATGTGGAGGCCTTGGTGCAGGGCCTGGCCGCGGGGTGGCGGCTGGCGAAGCAGGCAGTCCTTGGAAGTCCCGCGGGGGGGCCGAGGCGGTGCCCGCGCCGCTCGGCACTCTCAAAGCTGTCGACCCTGCCGGGCGGGGTCCGCTGTGACGCCACGCCCCTGCTCGTGGCTCCCTTCGCGGCCCCCTCCGATCTGAGCATCTTCCCGTCCTGGCTCCTGGCGCCGTGGCAGCTGCCTCCGTGGACCTGGAGGGCCCATGGCCAGCGTGCGCCCACGGGCGGGGCTCCTCCTTCTCCTCCTCCTCCTCCTCCTCCTCCTCCTCCTCCTCCTCCTGCCTGCTCCTCCCTACTCCTCCATGCTCCTCCCTTGCTCCTCCCTGCTCCTCCATGCTCCTCCCTGCTCCTCCCTGCTCCTCCCTGCTCCTCCCGGCTCCTCCCTGCTCCTCCCTGCTCCTCCCTGCTCCTCCCTGCTCCTCCCTGCTCCTCCCTGCTCCTCCCTGCTCCTCCCTGCTCCTCCCTGCTCCTCCCTCCTCCTCCCTGCTCCTCCCTGCTCCTCTCCTCCTCCTCCTCCTCCTCCTCTTCCTCCTCTTCCTCCTCTTCTCCTCTTCCTCCTCTTCCTCCTCTTCCCTCCTTCCTCCTCTCCTCCTCTTCCTCCTCTTCCTCCTCCGCCTCCGCCTCCGCCTCCGCCTCCGCCTCCGCCTCCGCCTCCTCCTCCTCCTCCTCCTCCTCCGCCTCCGCCTCTTCCCTCCCCCCTCCTCCTCCTCCTCCTCCTCTCTCCTCCCTCCTCTTCCTTTCCTCTTCCACTTCCTCCTCCTCCTCCTCCTCCTCGTCCTCCTCCTCCTCCTCCTTTCCTCCTCCTCTCCTCCTCCTCCTCCTCCTCCTCCTCCTCCTCCTCCTCCTCCTCCTCCTCCTCCTCCTCCGCCTCCTCCCTCCTCCGCCTCCTCCGCCTCCTTCCTCCTCCTCCTCCTCCTCCTCCTCCTCCTCCTCTTCCTCCTCCTCCTCCTCCTCCTCCTCCTCCTCCTCCAGGCCCCTGGCGGGGGCGGCCGCCCACGAGGCCGATGGGCCAGAGGCCGCCACCGCGCCGTGCAGCTGGGCTGGACCAGCCTGGCGAAAGAGGGCGCTGCGGCTGCAGGGCGATGGTCGGTCCCTGCGCGAGGGGTTCGCCCACCTGTCGCTTGCCTCGACGCGCAGGACGCAGGTCTGCCCCCGGGGAGCGGCTGCAACGAAGGGGCCCAGGGACACACAAATAAATACACACAAGTCCCTGGATTCACCATGTGTTCTCACAATTTCAAGAGGTTCGCCCCCCCGCCCACACTTCCCACAGTTCCCCATCTTTTCCCGAGGATCGGCGATTAATTGCGTCTGTGTGTGTATGTGTATGTGTGTGTGTGCCCACTCCTGATGCAAGCAGCGCTGGATTCTACTATCACCTGGTTGCCGTGGGCGCCCCCACGAAACGCGTGGAGACGCCTCGTCGTCGAGGGCATCCGCAAGGCGTCGGCGCCTGCCAACGCGGCGGCGGAGGCTGCGCGGGGCGGGCCTCCTCTCCTGGAGTCTGCTCGCGCAAGCTCCTGCTGTCCTCCCTTGCCTGGCAGCGCTGGAGAAGGCAGCGCCTCTTCTGGTTCCTCCCTTTCCTGGTGTCCTCCCTCTCCTGATGTCCTCCCAGTCCAGGTAGCGACGTCCTCCCTCCCCCGGTGGGTTTTCGCGCACGGGGGCGTGCTCTTCGAACCCTCCGTTGGGCCTGTCTTCATCGCCTTCCAGACCCTTGGGAGGCCTCGCCCTCCTTCCAGGCGGTACGTCGGGGCAGCCGTCCGTTGGTGGCAGAATTACCCGGTGATGCACCAACCTTTTTCTAATCAGGGGCAACTTTGCTAAGGACCGCCCGGTACAACCGAACATGGTAAAAAAACGCGCACTTCGCAACCCCTCAGGGGGCCGCCAGGTCTAGGCTGGGTCCGCGTGGACCTCCACTCCGCGAAATGGACGCCAGTTGCGCGGTTCGCAGCCGCCCAAGAAGTCGCGAGGTCTCGGCGAATCCGCGTGGACTTCCACTCCGCTGGACCTCCCAGGAGCCCACGAAAATGGCGACACTTGCGCGGTTCGCAACACCCGCAGGGAGCCGCGAGATCTCGGCAGATCTGCGCGCACTTCTACTCAGCTGGACCTCGCAAAAGCCAGCGAAAATGGCGACACTTGCGCGGTTCGCAACCCCGCAGAAAGCCGCGAGGTCTCGCCAAGTCCGCGTGGACTTCCACTCCGCTGGACCTCTCACGACCTTACAAAATGGCGACAATTGCGCGTTTCGCAGTCCCGCAAGGAACCGCGAGGTCTAGGCTGGGTCAGTCTAAAATGAGCCTGGTCGGTCATATTGCATCAAATTCCATGTCGAAGGAATGCGATATGGGGTGTGGATGGGTAAGATAGGAGAAGATCGATGTATCGGTCTTTCCAGCACATAGCGAATACCAAGTCAGGTATCCGGGCAAATAGGGCGCGCGTGCCTTGAGCCATAAGGCAGCGACGCACAGGCTATACTCCCGTTTACATATATCAGCTCCCAAAGAGCTACCCTTCAAGTCAGGAGGGGAGGAGACGGAGAGTAAAGCCGCGCAGTCGCTGGGCTCTCAGCAATCGCGCGACAGCTCGTACGGAAAAACAGTACTCGCAGTCTAGTTTACCACCGGACTGAAGGGCGATTCTATTCGCTGGCGAGCTACCTCAAAAAAGCTTTCCACGCGTTTGCAGAAACAGCCCCTGGAGTGGCCGAGGGCTATCGGCCCTGCTGAAGGTTAGCCAAAATAGGCTATTCCCCTCCGGGCAAGAGGTACGAGGGCAAGGGGCCTAAACATAACTGGAAAGGCTCGTTGCCAAGCGCGAGAAATGGTGTGACTCGTTTCCGAGCGAGCTGGGGAGCGCCTACATCATAAGCGCCCGCGCTGGCAAGCTGGGCCGCAGAGGCAACAAGGACAGACTAGAAGCGATTCGGCTTCAGCTTTGTTTTGTCCTCAGGGCCCCGAAAGGGAAACAAACTGCTTCACGTCGTACTTAAACGACTGAATACCTGACATCACTTCCAAAAGCAGCTCCCGATCGATACTCCCCTTTGTGTGCCCATCTGCGGTCGTGTCCCTAGTGTCACACCACTGTACGTTATGCTCATACCTATATCCATGAGCTCACGTATCCAACTGATATGTCCTAGCAGTGTGCGTTCTGTCGGTATCTTGAGGTCTTTGCTAGATAATGAATTATATATAGACTCGGCGTCTATCGTGAGGGACACTTTGATAGCTAGGCCTCCAACTTCACGCATATCCCGTAGCTGTAGTGGAGTAAGTGCCCCAGCCTTGAGCTCGTGGAGGGTGATGAGCGTGGGATAACATTCATCAAGGTTGTGTGCAGCTGCGAGTGCCTCGGCGGCGTAGCTGGACCTCACCTGCAGTCGGTGTGACTTGCATAGTCCGTCGCACAGGTGAACGACGGGTTTGCCTTGGGGCGAGTTTTTCTCGCCTTAGTACGTTCGCCCCACGAATGCCGCAGCCCTTGGTCTCATCGTCCTCCTCCCCGGTGAGTATCCGGTATCCCGAGTCACTATGTATGTCTACTTCATCAGTCGGCTTCATCCGAGGGAAGGTGATGCGTTTCGGGCTGCTGATCAGCTTTCGCGTCACTGCATTCAGTCGTCTGGCTTGTAGGTTGGTGGGCTCTTG